CCAGCTTTGTGAAGGCGTGCGAGGTGCGGTTGTCTCGGGTCCCTCGGACTAGGTAACACATCTACTTGGTTCTTGGAGGAGACCAGGGGAAATGGAAATGTGCAGGGAAGCGAGGAGAAAATAAATGAAAATGCAACTAGCAATCAGTTCGGATAAGGGCTGAGAGCATATGCAGGGATGACAGCAGGTGAAAATTATACTGTCTTTGGTTTGCTTCCAAGCCATCGTGAGTCTCACGCAAGCCAAAGAGCACTGGCAGGGGGTGGTCGCGCGTCTGGGATGCTTGGATGCCCTGACTGTGGTGGAGGGGGGAACGAGCGGGCAAGTCCGGGGGTATATGTCAGGTAGATTCTTTGAGACATGAGTTTTTTTTAGATCTAAAGGACAGTTACCAGGGTCTCTCAGGGCCAAGAATCAAACATTACATCTTTGGCTTTCTCTGGAGGTTAAGAGACACCTCAACATTGGTCCCTGAGTTCTTTTTTTTTTGAGACGGCGAGGGGCACCGGGCCCTCCGGTCTCACCGTTGTCACCCACCTCGGGACTGGCAACTGGCCAGTGGCACCCCCGGATTCTTCAGCTCCTACGCAACCTCTGGCGTCCCCATGATTCACAGCAGGATCTCTCCTGCTCAGATTGCCCAAGTAGCTGGGGGACTTACAGAGGGCGCCTGATGCGGGTACACCTCGGCCTAATTTTGTATTTATTGTATTTTAGTAGAGGATAGGGTTTCACATGTTGGGCAGGGCTGGCTCTCACTAATCCAGCTGGAGCTCAGGGTGATCTTGCCCGGCCTCTGTTACTCCGCAAAAGTGGGGGATTACAGGCAATGGTGCCGTCACCTCATGCTTAGCAGTCTTTAGTTCTTGTAATCTGTATTATTGTTTTCCCTGTACAGGCTGGAGACAGAATGGTATTTGAAAAGAGATAGCTTGCTAAGGATGTAATAGTTGCATACTCCGGGCCTTTACTTTGAAGAATAACAGTCAATTGTTAACCCAGCTTGGACATTCCTTGCTTCTATAGTTACCCCAGGACCATCCTAGAAATGCAGCGTTCTGAATCTGGGATTTTTTGAGAACCCACGATTCAAAGGTTGGGACATAAGACGTAAAGACTTTCGAGTAGACGGGAACCTATGTCGTTTGACAGAGAATGGAGATCGCGGCAGTCGGCCCAGGGCGTCATGACGTCCCAAGAGCCGATAGGAGTGTTGACAAGGGTTTAAGAGAGGCATTCATTCACCTGAACCATGTCCAACATGGCTGCCCTTTCAGGTAAGGGCAGCTGGGGTGAAATTCTAACTCTAGCAAGACTTGAAGTGTTGATTTTACTGCCTACTTTAAAGCAGAAATGAGGACACCTGAAAGGAAGGCAGTGGCTGCCTCTGAGTTGTAGATTTCATTGGCTCTTTTTTTAGATCAGGAGACTCATGAAATTTTGATCTTTCGGATGCACAGTCCCAGTTTGAGAACTGAAATGAGCAGTTCATGTGTGTCTCCAGCCCAAGTGCAAACTCGGCCAAATGAGCTTACTTTCTTCATTTCTCTCCCTCATGATAAGACGTTAATTCTCCGGCCACAAAGCTTTTTTGTCCCCGTAGCTGTGACCTTAGTCCTGCTCCATCACTTCCCCAGCCCCTAGACTCTCTCAGCAGGGCCCTGGCTGGTCTCCTGTCCCCTGGCTTACCCATTTCAGTCGCCCTACTCAGTGCCACGAAATGAATCTTCCCATAGCATGGCCTGGATCGTGCTATTCCTCTGCTGAAAAAGGTTCGGGGCTCACTACTGACTGTGCACCCTATGACCCAAGCCCTCCACCCGTGACCAGCCCCATCCCCAGCCCTGCTTTGTCACCTGCCACCTGCCTCACCAGGCTGGGCTGCTGTGAGGACCCTTCCAGTTCTCCCAGCTTTTCCTGCCGCCATGCCTCTATTCATCTTGTCCTCTGAGCCTCAGATGCCACCTGGGCTAAGCAAACCCCACAAATCTATCAAAGCTTCCTTCAGGCCAGGCATAGTGGCTCATGCCTGTCATCTCAGCACTTTGGGAGGCCAAGGCAGTAGGATTGCTTGAGACCAGGTGTTCAAGACCAGCCTGGGCAACATAGCGAGAATCTGTCTCTACCAAAAAAAAAAAAAAATTAGCCAAGCTTGATGGCGTACACCTGTGGTCCTAGCTACTCAGGAGGCTGAGGTGGGAGGATCTCGTAAGCCCAGGAATTCAAGGCAGCAGTGGGCCATGATTAGGCCATTTCACTCCAGTCTGGGTGTCTCTAAAAAACAAAAAAAAAGAAGCATCCAAGCGTCCCTCAAATCTCAGCCCATGGTGACCCCTTAGAATTCCCATTGCATCTACTGTGCAGCCAGTGATGGTATTCTGCCCTATACCTTGCCCAGTCACCCTCAGCATGTCCAACTCGACTCTAAGGGACCTCAAGGGTGAGGTCCCTTAGAGCAGGAGTTTCATGATTTTCAGTGTGTTCTGAGACTCCTGCAGTGCCCGACGCTCTCCCCAGTGCACAGGTGACAGGCACCTACTTCCAGATTTCCCAAGAACCCTTCACACGGCCAGTGTCAGGCTGATAAAAGCCAGCTACGTCCGTCTCTGCTGTGAGGCGCACAGTGCGGTGTGGAGTTGGCATGACGTGCGGTTTTGCCCACATCAGAACCACGTCCCTGGCATAGTGGAATTATTAACAGTGAAGCTGTATCTCACATTTGTGATTTTGTTTGAAAGGATTCTGCTCATCAGCTCATTCATTTTCATCAAGTACCTCAGCGTGCCCCATGTGTGCTGATGCAAAGCGTACAGATTAAATTCTAATAGGATCAGCAACATACCCACCCAGGACAAAACAGTCTAGCCCGTGTGGTCCTAGGGCACATGCACTGTGTTTAGGGAGGGGAGAAATCTCAGAGCCAGGGACGCCTGCAAAGGTTGGAAGGATCCAGCAGAATCTGGGTAGGTAGAGAAACTCTCCCAGGGAGAAATGGCTTAGGCCACAGGGTGCGGTGAGCAGGGGCTGTGAGAAGAGGGGCCTGGGCCTGGGCCTGGGCCTGGGCCTGGCCTGATGAAGTACAGGATGCAGCTGAGAAACTCTGAGAGAACTGGCTGAGGCCGCCTTGGCTGGGCAAGACCAGGAAGCAGCTCGGGCTGGGCAGAGCAGCCTGAACTGAATCCAGGCGTGATCAAGACCCAGTGCAGGTCACCAGGCAGAGGTGGCTAGAGATAAGATGCATGTAGTGTAGACAGATCAGCAAGGAGCCTTTCTCAGTTCTCCTGGGGAGCGGACACAGTGTCCCGAGAGCTGGAGCAAATCATAGGAAGGATCTGCCCTGGGCAGTGACTTAGCTTGTACTCAGAGAGGCACGAGTGTCTGAGCACGTAACCTCTTGCATTACTGAGCTAGTGACCACTGGGTTTATTAAGGACCTACTGTGGGACCTCAGACACTGCCGGCTGCTGTCTGCTCTCACCCCTGTAGCCCCACTGTGGGGCGACTGAGGAGGGACTGCGGCTGAGAGAGGTGGAGCCACTTGTATTCCAGGATCACACAGGGAGTGATGGTGCAGACCAGCCAGTGACCCGAGCCTGACTGAAGACCCATGTGTGAACGCTGGAAGCTGCTGACAGCCAAAGAGGAAAGCAAGCACGTGTGCGGTTGTTCCCTGCTTTCCCCAAATAACTGTGTTCCTCTTGCTCTTCCACAGCATGTTTGATGTTGGCGGCCAGAGGGATGAGAGGAGAAAATGGATCCAGTGCTTTAATGGTGATTTTTTTTATGCTCTCTCAAGCAAATGGGAGTGAATTCTAACACTCAGCATTGCTGTGCTTAACTGTTTTTGAATTAGATGATCTCTCATCTAACTAGTATGTAAAGCATAGCATTTTATAGATTATGATGCTCCTTCCTTAGATACTAATCTCATTTAAAAAAGCATTTAAGGGCCAGGCGTCATGGCTCATGCCTGTAATCCCAGCACCTTGGGAGGCCAAGGAGGGCGGATAACCTGAAGTCAGGAGTTCGAGACCAGCCTGGCCAATGTGGAGAAACCAGAGCTCTATTAAAAATACAAAAATTAGCCAGGTGTGGTGGCTCATGCCTGTAATCCCAGCATTTTGGGAGGCTAGGGTGGGTGGATCACCTGAGGTCAGGAGTTCAAGACCAGCCTGACCAACATGGTGAAACCCCGTCTGTCGCTAAAAAGTGCAAAATTTAGCCAGGTTTTCTGTGCACGCCTGTAATCCCAGCTACGCCTGGAGGCTGAGGCAGGAGAATCGCCTGAACCCAGGAGGCGAGGCTTGCAGTGAAGCAGGATTTGTGCCATTGTACTCCAGCCTGGGCACACAGAGGTGAAACTCTGTCTCAGAAAAAAATACAAAAATTGGCCCAGGCATGGTGACACATGCCTGTAATCCCAGCTACTAGGGAGGCTGAGGCAGGAGAGATCACTTGAACCTGGGAAGAAGTTGCAGTGAGCCAAGATCATGCCATTGCACTCCAGCCTGGGAGACAAGAGTGAACTCCACTCAAAGAAAAAGAAGAAAAGCATTTAAGCATATCCCAAATTTACGTTGCGTCTTTTGGGCTGGGCTCTCATCAAGTGTGTTAACTGAGGCAACAGTGGTGTGCACGGCGCACGGTGCAGGCTGTTCTGTGACTGAATAGCCTATCACTGAATGAATGTTTTTGTGCCACTGAAGAGCTGCTGGGTGTATACTTTCTTGCAGCTCCACAGCGAGTGTGTCTAACTGAGGTGCTTTCTCTTTTTCTCGCCCCACCAAGATGTCACGGCTATCATTTACGGTCGCAGCCGTGCAGTAGCTACAACATGGTGATTCGAGAAGATAACAACACCAACAGGCTGAGAGAGTCCCTCGATCTTTTTGTGAAGCATCTGGAACAACAGGTGACAAAAATAAAACAAAATTCAGTCTCACCACTGGGATTGCAAATTTTCTTTTGTTAAAAATGCGCTAGGCCAGGTGTTGCCGGCTCACACCTGTAAATCTCAACACTGAGAGAGGCCTGAGGCAGGTGTGTCACTTGAGCCCAGGAGTTGGAAACCAACCTGGGCAACATGAAGAAACCCTGTCTCTACAAAAAATACGAAGATTAGCCAGGCGTGGTGGTGCACACCTGTAGTCCCAGCTACTCAGGAGCTTGAGGTAGGAGGATCGGTTGAGCCCAGGAGGTGAGGGTTGCAGTGAACTGAGATCACACTACTGCACTCCTGCCTGGGCAACACAGCAAGACCCGGTCTCAAAACACACACACACCTACACCCACACCCCCCATACACACTCTTTACTGATAAATCCAGAACTGTACGAAATATCTCTTTTAGTTCATCTATTGTATAGACATACTAAAAATGTGGAGTATTTTATTTTATTATTTTATTTTATTTTATTTTGAGACGGAGTCTCGCTCTGTCGCCCAGGCTGGAGTGCAGTGGCGCTTTCTCAGCCCACTGCAAGCTCCACCTCCCGGGTTCACGCCATTCTCCTGCCTCAGCCTCCCGAGTTGCTGGGACTATAGGCGCCCGCCACCACGCCCGGCTAATTTTTGTATTTTTAGTAGAGGCGGGGTTTTACCGTGTTAGCCAGGATGGTCTTGATCTCCTGACCTCGTGATCCGCCCGTCTCGGCCTCCCAAAGTGCTGGGATTACAGGCTGAGCCACGGCGCCCGGCCAGTGTGGAGTATTCTTTGATGAAGTTCTGATAGTGCTTTGTCAAGAAAATTTAGGTCTCTGTTTTGAAAGCCTAAGATTACGTTCAGCCTTCCATATCTTCAGGTTCCATATCTGCAGATTCAACCAACCACAGATTGAAAATATTCAAAAATAAATTTAAGATAGCAATACAACAACAAAAAATAATACAAGATTACAGTGGCTTACACCTGTAATCCCAGCACTTTGGGAGGCTGAGACAGGGGAATTGCTTGAGCTCAGGAGCTGGAGACCAGCCTGGGCAACATGTTGAAACCCCGTCTCTACAAAAAATACAAAAATTCATCAGGCATGGTGGGGCACACTTGTAGTCCCAGCTACTTGGGAAGCTGAGGCAGGAGGATCACTTGAGCCCAGGAGGCGGAGGTTACAGTGAGCTGAGATCATATCACTGCACTTCAGTCTGGGCAACAGAGGGAGACTCCGTCTCAAAAAACTTAAATAATTAATTAAAATAAAAAATTGAGCAAGGAAAAAAATTGGACTAAAAAATAATAATACAAATAAGCAATACAGTATAACAAGTGCTCGCCAGCTTTTACATTGTGATAGGTATGATAGGTAATGTGGAGATGATTTAAGCACATGGGAGGGTGTGCATGGGTTATATGCAAATACTACACCATTTCATACAAGGGAGCCTCCTCAGATTTTGGTTTTCACAGGGAGTCGTAGACCAATCTCCCACGGGTATCAAGGGACGATTCTATATCTAGGGTTCGAAATAGGTTTTGTTTGGTTTTTAAAATTTAGGAAGTACCAGTTTAGGGGCCAGGAACAGTGGCTCATACCTGTAATCCCAGCACTTTGGGAGGCCAAGGCAGGAGGATCACCTGAGATCAGGAGTTCGAGACCAACCTGACCAAAATGGCGAAACCTCGTCTCTACTGAAAATACAAAAATTAGCCAGGCGTGGTGGTGGGCGCCTGTAGTCCCAGCTACTCAGGAGGCTGAGGCATGAGAATCACTTGAACCCGGGAGGTGGAGGTTGTGGTGAGCTGAGATTGCACCACTGCACTCCAGCCTGGGCAACAGAGTGAGACTCCATCTCAAAAAATAAAACAAAAATGTTGACATTTAAAAATAAATAAAGTACCAGTTTAGGACATCCACTAATGACTGGATGATCTGTAAGATCCCTTACAGCTCACAGTCACCACATAATTATGTTTGAAACTACTAGCATTGCAAAGTGGCATAAGTGATTATTTCAGAAAGGAATATTTAGTGCACACACACACATAATACATACACACATAGTTAGAAATCAAAGTTTCTTCTGAAGTATTTAGGAAGAAATATTACCAAGGAGGACGGGAAACATAAGTTTACCTTATAAAGTTTTGGATTCTCAGAAAAATGATTTTCTATGAAATGTTCAACAACCAGCCTCAAATTTGTGGTAATAAGACAGTTAATAGGAAAGAAACAGGGTCAGGAAATACCAGGTATACAGAAGGATACTATAGAGTTATTATAAATTTATTTATATACACTATATGTGTAAGTGGGAAAATGACCACAGTCTTATAGGAAAAAACAGATTTTAAAATACTGTGCTCTTGTTTTTTGAGCATCATGTCAGTGCTGAAAAAGTTTTGGATTTTGAAGTATTTCGGATTTTGTGTTTTTGGATTAGGGCTGCTCAACCTGTACCTATATTTGTTTATCATTGTTTACAGATGGAATGAGGATACTGGTGTACTGAACTTTCTTGAATCCTATACAATTTTAGGAGGATGATGGTATTCTTTTAATTTAGCAACTTCTTGTTAGAGGCGCTTTCATATACTAGTATATGTGAACTGTGTTTGTTTATTTTTCCTTTTTCAGGTGGTTACGGACCATTTCTATCATCTTGTTCTTGAACAAACAAGATATGCTGGCAGAAAAAGTCTTGGCAGGGAAATCAAAAATTGAAGACTATTTCCCAGAATATGCAAATTACACTGTTCCTGAAGACGGTAAGATTTCAAAACACATTCTTATGATTGAGGAATAGAATTGTTTTATTAATAGTCCTGTAACTCTAATTCACATACTTCTGATGAATCTAAGAAATTCACTTGATTTAAAACAATTCTGTTTCTACTGCCTATATCCTAAAGTACTGGAGTGTTAAAATGTCCTATTTAGGATCCCGTTTGTAAAGTTTCCGAGTTTGACTTTCCATTGAAACTGTGCCGCCGAAGAAAGAGCCGTTTTGGGGTGTGACTGTGTCATGCTGCTGTGAGCTCTCCCTCTAGAGCCTTTGACGGGGTTGGACGTGACAGGGGCCTTGTTAGTCCTTGATACAGACGTTCTGACTTCACCCTCCGATGACCCCGCCTGGTAGTTTCTATTATTCTTTTCCGTGGAAAGAGAGTCTGAGAGAGAAAAGATAATGTGTTCAAAGCCACACGGGTAGAGTCGTGCAGGCAAGGCAGTCCTTGCACCCTCTGTCCCCAAGCCCGTGCTGGCAGCAGCCACGCTTACCTGCTCCTATCTCTAGCCTTGCTGTGGCTGCAGCCTTGGGGATTTCCAGCAGGGCCAGCAGCCACCCCCGGCTGCCTGAGACTGAGGGGTTTCTGGGGCACGGGACTGTCAGTGCTAAAGCTGGGAAGGTAGACCAGGAAGAGATGGTCACTCCATTTCCAGTCGCTGACACTTCAGTTTCCAGTGAACACCAGGTCTACCAGAGGCCCACAGGCGTGATTTAAGGTGAGATAGCACCACTTTCTACATCTTGAATTCCAAACTAGAAAACGCAGAATAAAAGAGACTTTCCTGGAAAATATAGTTAAGATTTGGAAAATTTACTTTTTATCCTCAATGAAGAAGGAAAAGAAAACTTGCATTTGTCGTTAAACTTTCTTGCTCCTTATGTTCAATGTTCTTTTCTCCTTCATGGGAGAGGCATTGTGTAAGTATATTCATAGTAAAATCCTGACCCGTGTGGGGCATTCCAACAAAATCCTGCTGTCATCACTGAGTCGGAAGACCTGAAAAAAAATCCTACCCCGCCTACATATTCTCCTTATAGAACTAAGGCGGCCGTGCGGTGCGGCCTCCGCCTGTAATCTCGCACTTTGGGAGGCCGAGACGGCGGATCACGAGGTCACGGAGCTCAACCGACCATCCTGCGCAACAACAGTGAAACCCCGTCTCTACTAAAACAATACAAAAAAGCCTACCGCCAGCGGACCCGGTGGCGCGCCTGTACTCCATGCCTAACTTTGGGAGGTCGAGGCAGGAGAATAGCCATAAACCCGGAGGCGGAGCTTGCAGTGAGCATGAGATTCCGGCCCTGCACTCCAGCCTGCGCGACCAGACGCGAGCACCTCCGTCTCAAAAAAAAACAAAAAAAAAAAAAAAAAACTAGCTGGTTCATCCCGATGGTGATCGGCTGTCAATCCCAGCTAACTGGGGGGATGGGTTGGCGAGAATCACTTGAAACTGGAGGTGCGAGGCTTGCAGTGGAGCCAAGATCACACACTCGGGCGACCGAGAACTGAGCACCTCACTCTCAAAAAAAACAAAACGAAAGAAAACAATAAGTACCATGTTTGGTCTTTGTCTAGCCTGTACATTGTATCATTTTCTCTTTTCTTCTCAATCGCTCTGCACATCATACAGCAGTCCAACGTTGACAATTTCCTTCTGTGTTTTCAGAGGTTTATCTTTGCTTTCATGTTGTCTTAAGTCAAGTTGTAATTTGTCCCCCATTTCCTACAGCCAACACCCAGATGCAGGAAGAAGACCCAAAACGTTAACCGAGAGCCCAAGGTTCTTTGACTCCCGCGCGCACCCCCCCCCTGTTTTTTCTGGTAACGCACATTCTTCGCCTTCACACTCTCTGTCCTTTTTACCTCCACTTCTCAACTCTTCTGTTTCTCGCAGTCACTGCAGCATTACTTATACTCTTCCCTCTGCATCTTCACACCCTCTTCTCTCTAACCCGTCTCACTCGCAGCCAGACTGACACCACACAAGCCGCGTACTCACATTCTCACAGCTTGAGCACCCCGACGGTTCCAGCAGAGGTAGATTTCTCCCACCCCAACAGGCTCACACACGCTCTCCAACGCAGCACGCAGCCCGGGTGAGCAACACAGCAGTCACACCGGGAATGGCACCTTGGATGGCCTACCACTTCATCTCATTTCTTTGTACTCGCGTCGCGAGAGAGAGAGGACAGCCGCTCCTTCCAGCCCCCAAAGCTCCCCAAACAGCCCATACTCTCCTCCACCCCAAAAAAGCACTAACCAGCGCTGATGGTTTATTACCACCAAACACGGTGTGCACCAAATTCCAGCTACTCTTTCTTCTTCCAGCTTTTGAGATTTGAGATTCATTCTCTTCGACACTACCCTAGCTCCTGAGAATTATAACTTTGGGATAATTCTTGAGATTCATTTCAAACTTACATATCGACGGACGGAAGATTTGTCACACCATAACTCCCATACTACCTCCAGACAGGTGCAGCTGGCCCCGCTCTGTCAAATCCCCACCGCACCTTGGAGGCCCTGACGGCAGGTACGCATCACTCTGAGGCAGCGAGTTCGCAGACCACGCCCTGCGCCAACATCGTCAAACAAACCCGCCCGTCTCTACTAAAAATACCAACAAACTTAGCTGGGGACAGTCGCACGCGCCTCAACACACTCTGGAGCTGAGCACGAAGCAATCGCTAAAAGCCAGCGACGCCCGCCCAGCACCGGTTCCACGTGAGCAAGATCACACACTCGCTACATCCAGCCTGGCCGCACACACGCGAGACTCCCTGTCTCAAACTAAAACAGAAACAAAAAAAACCTCCCATATATCTCCTTTACCAAATTGACCAACTGGCAAAAAATTGCACATATGCCCTTTATCCTATATTCCCATTTCTTTGAAATAACCTACACGTCGTATAAGCCTAGCTGTGAGTTTCTTACTCGCTTCAAACACACACACGCAATTCCAAGAGCCGTCTTCACGTAGTACGTCCAGCGCCCACTTAACACGCTGTGGACACAGGTCTCAGCCCCGGAGCACATCAGGGCTGATCCTCGGTCTGTGGAGGCTTTCAACGGGGAACCCGGCACTCCAGCCTGGCCTTTCCCACCGCCCTCTTTCCAGCCACCCTGCTGGATGACCTCCTCACACACAATTAGAAAGTAAACATTGAAGAGCAAATAAGCCGCCCCAGGGTGAGTTCAAGAGGCAAGCAGTTCCCAACGGGAAGTGCAGTGGCTGTAAGTGCATGGCAGCACCGCAGAAAGAGCCTGTGCAGCTGAATAACATCCGTGGGAATGCCTGCTGTGTTAACATACACGCGTTGGCGAGGTCTCT